AAAAAATAAAAAATTTTTTATAGAAAAATATATCTTATATTAACAGTCAAAATCATCAAATATCAAAGAAAAAGTTTTTATTTAAAATAATAAATTTTATTAATAAAATATATGTAAACATAAATTATATTTTAAATCAAATAAACTCGAATACACTAGCAGGATTATATTTATCACGAGAAATATATTTATAAAAAAAATCTTTTAGTTAGTAAGTTAACGAAAATTGATTCAGAAATTAGAAATCAGACTTTTAATAAATAATTACTTGGGAGAGAGTGAGTAAATTTAAGAAGTTAAATAATTCTCATGTTATATCTTTGCGCAGCACAATCTTTTCCAACACCGATGGAAGAACCGAAGAAGGTATTGCGAGCGCAGTATCTCGGATCCATGCAAGTCAATCAAGCGACTGGCATGGAAGTGCTGAACGAGGCGATAGAACATATCGTGACGAACACGCCGATTAATCAATGGCGAAACGTCAACGTCGCCGTAGCTCCTAGCATGATTTCCATTCTTACGCCCAACGTAAGTAAAGAAACGTCGACGTCAACAAAATTAATAAAAATGCAATCAACTATTCATAATATTGTAATTTTTTCAGGACGACAAGCTCATCACCGAATGTCGAGTACGCTACCTGTCATTCCTCGGTATAGGCCGCAACGTAAAGCAATGTGCTTTCATTATGCATACCGCACAGGACTTGTTCATCGCACACGTCTTCAATTGTGAACCCAGCAGCGGAGCTCTCTGTAAGACAATTGAAGCCGCTTGCAAGGTAAAGATTCTCTCTCTAGAAGGACTAAATCCTCTTAGCTAAACTGAAATATTAGATGAAGAAGGTATTTCTGTTTCTTCTTTAAGCTGAGGTACCAGAAATGCCTGGACGCACATCCACAGGGCTTCAGAAACGCCAGCAGTCTTAATACTCCAAACGGCAGAGGCTTAGGCGCAACTCTGAAATCTTTAGTTGGATCTTTGACTGGCCGTAGGAATAAGCAGGGCGAGTCCTGAGACGAGGCTCTCTCGCTGCAGGTAAACTATTTTTATCAAGATATCTTCCCCCAACATTAAAAAGTTTTATCATAAGTTAATTAATAATCTTCACATTAAGTCTAGAAATTTAAATTAAAATACAGAAATATATATAAATATATATATGTACCATACACACACACACACACACACACACACACACACACACACACACACACACACACACAC